TCGCTTGACATGACCTATTTCTGTATATTCAAATCAATGGTTGAAACAAAGAAGAATGATCAGACGATTCGTGGCTGTGGACGAGGAAGCAAAGAGGAAGAAAGGAAGGATATATGGTATTGTTGTCTTGATATTGTTCGGGATCGCCGCCTGAGGCTGCCACAACCCCACTCGATTATCTTATCGTGTTTTTGATGAATTTCCTCCTTACTACTCCGCACCGCCCTCTTCGCTGTGATCATTTCTACTTATTGTTACATCAGCCTTTTAAATACAATTATAGACCCTGGCGATCTGGAATCAATTGGTTGTTCACTAAAACTTTGATGAGGGGGAACCTGCATTTTCTGTGGAAACGGACTGTGGACACTGTGAGCATAGTACCATCTCTCTTCTCCAAGCAAGATCAACACGGCTCTTTACTGGATACTTCACTTTGATTGACTATTTCGCATGCTTCTGCATTAAATTAAACCTCTAACATTGACAAGCTGTTCTGGAACTCTTCTCGGAGAATTCTTCTTGTGTGCTCCTGTTCCTTGACTTGCTCAAATTAACGCCAATCATTATCCCGTCCCAGCATGGCGGGAAAATACTCGTCGGATCCAGAGTGGGCATCTATCAAGCCCATAGAGCTCAATGATGGCAGCGAGTCCGGCGCCATGCCGTTGGCCACCATTTCCTATTCCCCAGAATATCTCGAGGCTACGTCTTACCTGCGAGCTGTAATGGCCGCCAACGAGATGTCCGAGCGAGCGCTGAGACTGACAGAAGACATCATCTCCATGAACCCAGCGCATTACACAGTTTGGTGAGATCAGACTACAGTCCTCGCCGCCTTAAAAAAAGGGCTTCAAAATGACTAATATCTTTTGTGTAGGATATACCGGGCTAAGATTCTTTTCGCCCTAGGAAAAGATCTCAATGAGGAGATTGAATGGCTCAATAAAGTCGCTCTGAAGCATCTCAAGAACTACCAGATATGGTAAGTATTTGGTTCTATTACACCTCGCATCCCACCCGTCTGACGCACTCAACAGGCACCACCGCCAAGTTCTCATGTCTTCGCGGGCTCATTTTCCAACTCTTCCGCCCAGAGAGCTGGACTTTCTGATGGAGATGTTTGCCCAGGACTCCAAGAACTATCACGTCTGGACATACCGCCACTGGCTCGTCCGACATTTCAAGCTCTGGGATTATCCGCGCGAGATCCAGGATGTGGAGGCACTCCTGAAATCCGACATCCGGAACAACTCCGCCTGGAACCATCGGTACATGCTCCGCTTTGGACCGCGAGATGAATATGAGTATGATGCCGGTCTATACAATACCACAGGGCCATCGTCGGAAAAAGGCCGCCTGCCGGTTGTCGACGAGGATCTGGTCGACTCCGAGCTGCAGTACTCGCAAACTAGGATCCTCGAAGCTCCTGAGAACCGCAGTCCATGGTCGTACGCGCGCGGAGTACTCCAGGCAGCCGGCAGACCCCTTTCAGAGTGGAAGGATTTTACCCGGAGATTCGTGGTCGAAAAGCAGGAGAACGGTCAGGTGGTGGATGTTGCGGTCAAAAGTAGCCACGCTATTGACTGGTTAGCGGACGTGTACGCGGAGGAAGCCGAAAGCGCCTCATCCAAGGAAGGAAGTGCAGCCGAGGCGGTCAAGATGCTCACTCTCCTCAAGGAGAAGTATGACCCTATCCGGAGGAACTACTGGGAGTATCGAATCCGGCAGATTATGGCGTCTGCGACACAGGCTACGGAGATATCTGTCTCCGCTTGATTTGAGATGTCTCTTGCCATAGTTCAAATATGATGCTTTGTATTACTTCTACCTGTCTGAGTCAAAGTTTCTTTGGTTTCTTTGGTTTTCCGTGTGCATAATTTGCGATTCTACAGCGTATTTTTGGTATTGTCTTATCTTTACGGAGGAACTTTCAGCGTTTAGGGCCAGAAGGTCTGTCTTATACGTAAAGCAAGGGCGCAGGTGGTGTGTCTGGGAGCCAGTCGAAGTACACAAGAAGCAGTTAGTCTATCGCATAATTCTCAGAAAAATGAATCTACCTGAAACAAAACAATGTATAGCATCCAAAAGCCTAAGCCATCTACAGATCCAGTGCATCGAACCTGACCTAGGCCTGCCATATTGAAGATGGCCGTGTCGTCAATTTGTGTCTTCGCCAGTTTCCAAATTGTGATGGACGAGAGCGGAGAGGGAAATCAGAGCGAAGAGCATAGTTCGTCTATCGTGGAGCTGACGGCCCTCGAAATTATTATTTAGTAACTGAAGAGATCTGATGGACAGATACATAGGGAGATATTCCATTCTCAATCGCGGGGAATTCCACCGGTCAGCCGCTACGGCAAGGACTGGGCGCAATCTCATGTCGGACAGAATGTCCTCTGGTAGAGGCTGCGACGGATGACACGGAGGGACTCGTTGGTTGTTGGAGCGAGTCCAGCTGCACTTCGCACGTTGTTGTCATATTGTGGCCTCCGTTGATGTGCAACGCAGCGTAATCGAGATGTCACAGTTGGGTGCTTGACCGGGATAATCCAACTGTATAGAACGAAAGGATGAGGAAGTAAAAGAATAAAGAAAGAAGGGAAGGAGGACAAGAGAGAGAAAGAACGACAAAAGACAGAGAGGGAAGAAGAGGAGGACAACTCGTCTTCCTGAATGTTCCAGTTGGGCAAGTCCGTATCAAGTCTGCAGCTCCAACTCTAAAAAAAAGAAATCCATAGTTGAGGCATTGATTAAATCTATCCTACTCTGTGAATTAAAGACAGAGGGGGTTGAAACGAGGCAGTAAATGGCCTCAGTGGCAGTCATTTCAGCGTCAATTCCACAAAATCCTCCATTCTAGCTTGTAAAATGATCCCAAGTACTCCAAGAAATCCAAATCCCATAGCCATAGCATGAACGCATTCGTCAAATCAAGAATCGTATCCGTTATTAAGGGGAATATTGTATCTTTTGCTGTGGGAAAGCCTGGTTTACGCCCCCCAACCCTCCTGCAACATCTTCCTCCACTCCGCCGCCATGTCGATGGTGACATTGCTGCCTCCGCAGACGATGATCACCACTCGACTGTCCGGCTGCAGGTTCGGGACCAACTGCTTTAGCTTGGATTGGAACTCGTGCGACGGCGACGGCGTATTTTCAGTAGGATGTGCTTGAGGCTGGCTGCCCGTCCCCTCTGACTCCGTTTCGGTTTCTCCGGACGAGAGTCGGTCATCACCGTACCCTTCATCCCGCTGGGAGAATTCCGCCTCTGTCCTCTTCCGCTTCTTGCCAGTCAGGCCTGCCTGCTCGGTTGCCAAATGTGTGCTTGCTGATCCCGAGGCGTGTGTCTTGGCCGCATCGCCGATGGCTGCCTCGACGCAGACACCGCATGCCAACTCCACCAGCAGTCGTTCATCATCCGCGAGACGGAGCACGCCCCGAGCGGCATCGGCATCTGAGAGGACAGCAGTGTGCACAGCAATTCCGGGTGGGGGAGAGATGGCGTATTTGAATGTACGTTCCGAGACGCGGATGGCGCCCAGCGAGGTAGCTTGGGAGGTGATTTTGGGGAGGGAGACGAGGGACTTCTGGGCTACAGCGAGGGCGAGGGAGTCTGTGCCTTCGGTTTCGATGGCGAGTATGTGGATGGGGTCTGGTTGAGAGGATGTGATGCCGTTGCTGTAGTGTGAGCTCTGTTTTTGTAAATGTCTCCGTCGCTCTAGGCCCATGATAAGACCATTAAGCAGTCCGCCGCCGCCAACACTGCAGATCACAGCGTCCAGTGGCAAAGCACGACCATTGTAGGCGATAGCTTCTTCTCTGGTTGTTACCGGCGGCAGCTGAGCAGCGAGCTCATCGATGATCGTGCTGTTTCCCTCCCAGATGGGCTCATTGTCGAAGGGGTGGAGGGCAATCTTGACCACATCTTTCTCGGCGTCTCCGTCATCTCCTTTCATAATCACTTCACGCATGTATTCTCCGGCTTCAGAGAATGTCTCACCGTACTGAATGACGTCCGAAGCGCCCGCCGCACGCAGTTTGTTCACCATCAGGGGCTTTGTCGAGACAGGCACGACCACGGTGCAAGGATAACCCAAGCTCCGGGCAGCACAGACGGCAGCCAGGCCGGCGTTGCCCCCCGAGGAAGCATAGAAATGCACCGGCCGGCCAGCGTTTTCCGGCTTGACGAGGTGCGAGAGGATCTGGTTGCCCATTGCACGGGACTTGAAGGATCCGCTGGGCTGAATGTTCTCGAGTTTCAAGAAGATTCTACAGCCTGCCGCACGAGACAGACAGGCGGATTCCACGAGGGAAGTCTCAACCCATGGCATCTTGAAGCTCAGCTTCGCTTCCTCAGGTGAGATGCTGCCCATGGTGTAAGAGCGGGGATTCACGTCTGCTCAAGGGACCAGAGAAAAGACAGTTGAAAGTATTGTATACAGTCCAATTCGTAAGTTGGGATGGTAGTAGTGTAAACAGAGCAGAGTATATGAGGTATCAAGAAACGCAAAAAAGCTGGGGAAATGAGTTCTAGTATCACACTGGAGATTAGAAGCCAAGATAGAACATGAGAGAATAATGCAAACCCATTCCTGCTTATCCATGAATTATATGACGCCAAAACACCAGTTATTCTGATATACGATAGGGTATACTTCCCGATTACCATGATAGGAGGTTTGCCGCGGGAAAGGACCAGGGTTTCCCGTCCGCTATGTGTTCGGAAACTCAGCGTCGCGATTCTGGAACATTTTTTCCCGCTGATAACCTTGTGGACAAGCGTAGGATGATCCAGAAGCCGTACGCCATGACATAACACAAACCTTGTCTCATCTATACATGGCGATGATCCTGTAGTCCTGCAACCCAGCTCCACTGGCAAGTAACGGAAAAGTGTTTTACTTGACCCTTGCGTTGGCGGAGAAGCAGAGACTCATCTTTTTGTGTGATTGGACTGCGATCCTTTTCTTCTTATCAAACGAAAACTGATTTTCTCATCATTCTTCGATAATGAGAGGGGGGAAAAGAATACTCTTTTCGACACCCTCACCGTAATCCGGATCACAACCGTAGCGTGCAGCCGAAAAGCTCCGTTTCGATGGCTCTGTCTTGTCTACACGGAGAATATCGAGAAGTTCATTAGACTTACTGGGCATAAAAGGTTGCAATAGGATACCGGAGATTCGCAGGGACTCGGCGACATTGTATAGCACTCGCTGCGAGTCGGCTGGAGTTTTCCATGGCTCTGCTGCATGGAAATACTTGTTGGTCTGCAATAAAGGGTAACGGAAGCGACGTTAGTCTGAGATAATCGTGTCTAGTGGTTGTGTGATGGACCCTTAACACTGACCTTCTCGATAATCACCATGATGCCCTGCAAAGCGGCACGGGGGTTTAACTTTTCCATTTGTTCCGCCACTCTATCAGGTGTCTGCTCCAGAAGCGATTGATGCTCCAGATCCTCGGGCGTCGGCGCGGGCAGCTTGTCGGCGGCTGCGTCCGCAATGTACGACCGCAGGTTACCCTTTGCACAACCAATTGTACGGTGTGTTAGGTTTCCAATGCCCCATTGGAGCATCTTCTTGTAGTCACGGATAATGTAGGAGTTGTCATAGTCGGCATCCCCCGCTAGTCCACCTTGGAAAGCAAGGAAGAAACGCATGGTGTCGACACCAAACCGATCGATCGCGAAGAAAGGATTCACTACATTTCCGGTGGACTTCGACATCTTTTCCCGGTTCATGGTCCAATGACCATGAACGAGGACCCTACGAGGTAGAGGCAAATCCAGTGCCATGAGGAAGGCAGGCCAGTAGACGCAATGGAAACTGACACGGCTGTCAATCTTTTGTCCCGCCCGTCACGCGGAAGAATAACTTACCGAACAATATCCTTGCCGATGACGTGCACATCGGCTGGCCAACCTAGTCGGCCCTCCTGACCAGGAGGAAACGGGTATCCGGCCTTAGTCAAATAGTTGATAAGGGCGTCCAGCCAGACATAGATCGTTTGTGTCTCATCGCCCGGTACAGGAATGCCCCAGGTCAATCGCTCTACAGGCCTAGAGATGGACAAGTCTGATAACCCCGAGGAGACTGACTTGACGAGGTCTGCCATATAGTTACCAGGTGTGACGAACTCTGTACTTTTGTACAAGTCCAGAAGGCGCTCCTGAAAGGCAGACAGTCTGAAGTGATAGTTGGTTTCCGACGACCATTCTACCTCTTTTCCCGTCTCAACTGAAACCTGGCATAGTGAGTGGTTGTACATCTGATAACATCCAGCTTCTAGGACCAAATACCATTCTTTTCCTTCCCGTAGAGGGATCCAAGGAGTTCTGCACTTGTGTTGGGGGATAGAACGTTTCGTCGCTGACGGAATACCATCCCTCGTGCTTTGCAGTGTAAATATAGCCCCGGTGGTTCAACATTTCCTTTCCCATTGTCAGCATGCGGAGCAGAAAGCTAGCAGCATTTCCGACGAACCCAGAAGTATTGAACAGCCTCCTTATGCGCCGGGTCGGTCGTTCGTATGAAATGATCGTAGTCAAGATTTGCGGCTTTTGCTAGCGCCTGAAACACATCGTCGCAAATTTAAGTAGAGGTTCTCGTAACAGTCTGCAAGAAGAGCGCGACCGACCTGAAAGGTTTTGCAGTTCATATCACAAAAGGCTTGAGGGTCCATGCCTGCCGCGCTCGCGGCCTGCTGAATCTATTTCACCAAGTTAACCGCATGAGATAGCCCGAGGTCAAGCACCAGACGATACCTTCATTCCATGTTCATCGGTCCCCGTCAACAGTTGAGCGTCTTTGTCTCCAAAAAGTACCCGCCATCTCTTCAGAATATCGGTGATCACCATAGTATAGAAATGACCAACATGGGGGGCTTTGCGAAAATCGATTCCATCAGTACGGATTGGACGGTGAGGTCCGCATAGGGTTGATAGAGACTCGTACCGGCATTCACATAGAATATTGGAGTCGTCACATAGTACGGCTTCTTCAAGCTTTGCTCGGAAGTTGCTGTTGCGAATCGGCGCGCCGAAATGGTCTGAGTAGGACTTCTGCACGGAGCACATCTCCACAATGGACGCCTATGGGCTACAAATTGACTGGCCCATGAAAGCGTACGGAGTCTCCCCTTAAAAAAAGCCATTGGGAAGCAATAATGACGTGGAAACATGAAGTTGTTTATGGCAGACAATTCTCTTGCTGGTTGCCTTCTCGGAGCTCGATAATCTCTGGGTGGTCCTAGCTCCTCCGCACCTTTTTTTCTCTCTCTTCAGTCACGATTTCGAATACATGCCTTGCAATTCTCCACCTCTGCCATCTCTTAACGTCAGTCTCTTTCCTCAACCCGATCTATTAGGGGACTTGAACATCTACAGTCTCTCCAGAGAAGCTTCAATACCGTGTGGTCAACGTTTGTGGCGCGTCTCTCGCTGTCTTACACGAAATTGTTGCCGGGGTATTTCATCAACCAAAGCTCGCGGAATCTACTTCCAGATTAACATAATCAATCTGTCGTCAAAATGACTATTCGAAGTGAAGATGTGCTCACAAGAGTGTCAACTGATGGTATGTTGCGCCCAGCCGACGTCGTTCTTCCTGTCTGACTGTGTCTTTTCAGCTGCCACTGAATTTGTCCAATCGTTCTACCCCGCGCTACAGTCCAATCGCGCAACAATCGCTTCGTTTTACAGCCAGCCCACCTCTACCATCCTATTCAACGGAAACGCTGTCGCGGATGGCAATGCCGTCCAAGAGATCTTCGTCAACCAGATGCCCCCTGCTCATTACGAGGTGCAGTCGTTCGATTGTCAGGTCATCAATCCGACATACCCCACGCCTACAACATCCGGCGTAAAGCTCCCCAATCAGACGACCGTCAAGGACATGTCAATATTGGTGGTAGTAAGCGGCTATGTACGATTTGGGGAGTCCAGAGATCTACCGCAGCGTGGCTTCAGCGAAACATTCATTCTGGTACCGAATCCTACAGCGGATGCTCCCAAAGGAAAACGCCGGAGAGAATGGCTTATTCAAACACAAAATTTTCGACTTGTCGTTTGATTAATGCATACTCCGACGAGGCAATATGGTTACGTCCGACATATCAACTTGTTCGACAATCCGCTCGTAACACGATAATAACCCATTCATCAATAGAAGGCACGCGCACTAGGTATCTCTGCTGGTTTGGATACAAAATGATTGCAAAGAGAACGCCATGAAAATACAGAAACTACTCAAACACAACATTCGTGTCTCATAAAACTCAGGTGGTTGATCTCGGCGGTACGCGCAGATTCGCTTTGACACGCTCAAGTAGTTCATCGCGTGTGGCCTCTCCACTGGGCAGGAGAGCTCTCTGCAAATCGCCGCCAGTTAGTTGGTACATCCTTGACGAATGAGAGGAGGCAGAACGTACATTGCGAAGCCATCTCCGCATTTCGTCGGCAGTCCAGTATTCAGGATCTTCTCAGAGTCACTCAGTCAGCCTTTTATTCCGCTATGGCAATGGTCCAGAGTTGCATACCTCCTGTTGGGTCTGGCCCGGATGGGAACATGTCGCTTCCCCAGATTGCCCACACTGCGGCAGCTGTGACCATCCCGGCGAAACCTACATCCCATCAGTTTGCTTCGTGTTGACTCAATGTGTGCGCCGCCAGGAGAAGTTACCCAGGACAAGATTCTGGATATGTCAGCTAAGTTACCACTAAGTTGAAATGTGGCTGAAGGCAGGAGGCTGGGGTATGCTCACTTTGGAAGTCATTGCTCGGTCTAAGGCAGTGGGCATTTTCCCAAATCCAGGCTTTTTTTGCGCGGAGAACACGCCCGCGAGATGTCAGTTGTTGGTATTCGATATTATCTTCTGTCGTTATATGATGGTTTCGCCACGGAAGCTGCGAGTCAAGCTTCCGCCGTCATCGTTGGAAAGCTGCCGCCTAGACCTTGCACCGCCACTTGCAGCGAAAACGCCACATTCTGGGGATATCAACACCTCAGGCATCCACATCTCCTTGGTTCGCGCTTGCTTCTATAGATTGACTATAGAAGGAAGTGAAGCATCTAGCCCGTTCTTGCTGTTTGCCTCGAACTGCCAGCTCCTGTTCGTCATGATCATAACTTCCTGCAGTATTACTTGTGGCTTAACTAGGAAAGAGCAAATCCAGATATACCTTATAGCTACAGTCCATCTCCTTTGACGATGGATTTCTCAATAGATCTCTCTTTTCCCTGTTCGTTCACTCTGTACAGACATAGAATTTCTACCCTATACCTACTGTTATCAAGCCACACTCTCTCACACTCAAACTTTTTGCCTATTCCTACATCAGGAATACGTTATTTTTCTATTTCCAACATCATCATGCCCCCTCAGCCGCCCAAGGGCTCCAATCGCCATTACGATCCCGCGTTCGAATGGTTCGATACACTCTTGCGAGCAGGTCTAGCTTTCAGTGTCCTTACATTTTTAATCATCCTTTTCAGCACCTCGGTCAAGTTGTCAGTGGTAGTATCGTATTCCATTATATAGCGGTGTTTACTCATCTACAATGCTCAGGGTTGCCTTCTGGAGGCGAAACAGACTCCGAGTCCATGTTTCCAAGAGGGATTCAAGGAGCAGAAATGGTATCGAATTCGGAGATGTTCCTCACACAACTGCGCCCTTTTCACATGGCTTTGCACCAAGTCGAGCGGATGCTGCATCAGTGATCCACCACCCGAACCCGATTTACAGAGATGCATCAAGAGTTACCGACAACATTGCGCCTGGAACTGTGCCATGGCAGTGGAGACAGCACCAGCCACAAGAGGAGGAGAGGCTGTGAGGTGAGGATGTGTGGCGCAGCAGCCAAGGGTTTCCCACCGGCTAAACCCTAATCTGCCAGATTCCACACAATTGCCTCAAGTGTCCGCAGCCGTCCGTGTTGAGACTCGTGAAAGTGATTGTACTCCATTCCCTCGCTCCGACTTTCTTTCAGATCACCCGGTTTGCGTCCATAAGCCCTGCCCACCATGCCTCGCGAAGTTTCCGATATCAAGCAGTTCATCGAGATCTGCCGCCGCAAGGATGCCTCCTGTACGTTTTCCGCACGCGATTGCCCCGGTTTTAGAGCGACGTGAATGAGCTCGGATTCAGCTCCGTGGAGGGATTAGCGACGGAGTTGCATGAATGCTAACAATTGGTTTTCTTTCATTACAGCTGCCCGCATCAAGCGCAACCGCTCGACCCAGCAGATCAAGTTCAAGGTCAGATGCCACCGCTTCATCTACACCCTTGTCCTGAAGGACTCCGACAAGGCCGACAAGCTCAAGCAGAGCCTGCCCCCAGGTGCGTTACCAACCTAAGTTTCTATCCGAATTTCCCCAGTCACGGATCACTGCTTTTGGAAATAGTGTCTAGTGGTAGAAGTGATGAGTGGAATGAGAAGAGAAGCCGCGTTTCTGCTCGGGATCTTAAGCTAACGCTACGTCTTCCAACAGCTCTCAAGGTTGTCGATGTGTCCAAGGGTGACAAGAAGAAGGCTCTGTAAATACCTTCAGTCGATGGAAAAAGGGTGATTTGAGCTCGGTCAATGCAGGAAACAAATACCAAAAGCGAATCGGCATGGGCATGAACTTTTGTGGGCCGACACTAGAATGACAATTCAGCATATGCGGTGAACTTGTTTTTCTTCGCGAGTGTTACCTTATTGAACACGTCGAAATGTAGGGCAGATGGCATTTTCACATCAGCCAGACGACCTACCTACCTGCACCTACCACCACGGCTCCCTGGGCTCTACAACTTAATGGAGAAAAACAGTTGAAAATTCTTACATATTTTCCGCTTCCCGGTCATGCTGAAACGAGTAGTTTTACACATGGATTGTGACCTGTGTCGCCATGGATGGAACACAGTAGTTCAATTCGGAGTACTCTGTAGATTTCAGCCATATGACGTAGGATAGCTTTAATGCTCCCTCTGGCGTGCACGCCTATTAGACGCAGTCACTCTAGTGTGGACATGATACTGCGCTGCCTCCTCAGAGCAGATGATGGAGCACTTGGCATTATTATCTGAAGCTGGACGGGTACGGGACTCTGACAGGATCCGCTACAAACCGGGCAGGAATCGCTTGCTGATCTTGTCTAGACTGTTGACGGCTATGTTGAGACTTCGTGCGACGTCTGACCTGTGCGTATCTATCTACTTGGCCTCGAGGAATACTGAGTAGTGACTGGACTCCAAGTCCCACCTTGTTGCGGACCACAGGTTGACTGGACATGGGCAAAAAAGATCGCTTTTCACTGGATCTTCACGTTTCCTCCAGTGTCGAGTTTATTGTCCACGTCCCACGATCTTCAGTACGTCGTATCAGATATGGACAGACTTAGGCTATATTATGTCTTGGCAGAGGTTTGATGAAACATGAACCCCTCGACTCCAATGCCTCCCTCTCATTTCAGCGAGTCATGAAGACGGCGAACGCCATGGCTTCCGCATAAGGATATTGTCTGCACCGAAATGAACTTACAGGTATCAGGTGATGAATCAATTATGCACTTGCTGTAGAGTCCGTCTGTGATATTGATGGGAGTCAACACAGGTCAAGCGCCTGCTTTATTCAAATTAGAGGCTTAGGACCCTGCCAGTGAAAGTAAGCATCCTCGAATCAAAACAATAGTTGGGACATCGAACGCTAATCATTTCTCTTCAAGGCACGGCAAATTGCTAGCAGATGAGGCCACTATATATGGAGTACCCTCCCTACTTTCGGTCTGAGCCGCCTAGAGGCCCAACACAGCAAAAGAAACTGCGATGTAACCGTTTCAGGTACGGATCCCAAGGCAAAAGTGCTAGAGGCTCGTGTATTGCCGTCGGCCCGTGTGTCCGGCAAAACCTGGGGGATCATCGGTTTCCATACAGGGAGCTCTTGGCTGTGCTCTGTGCGCCATGCCCAGCGCCTCTTCTTCATCAAAGAGAAACATCTGGATGGCGTACTAGTCAGTCGGATGACCAGGGAGTCTCAGTCTGGTCTGGCGTATTGTGCGTTGTGATAATAGATGGATCATTACGGGGTTTGTGTTC